CGAGCCTGTGAGAGTCTGAATGGAAATGATGACCCTATAGGCTCATAGGGACTGGCACTATCAGAAGGTGTGGCCTTGTTGAAGTTAAGTGTGGCACTGTTGGAGGAAGTGTGTCACTGGGGGTGGGCTTTGAGGTCTCAGAAGCTCAAGCCAGGCCTAGTCATCTCAGTCTCTTCCTGCTGCCTGCAGATCCAGATGTAGAACTATCAGCTCCTTCTCCAGTACCATGTCTGCCTGCATGCCATCAAGCTTCTCACCATAATAATAATGGACTAAACTTCTGAAGTGTAAGCCAGCCCCAATTAAATGCTTTCCTTTATAAGAGTTGCCATGGTTATGGTATCTCATCATAGCAATAAAACCCTAACTAAGACAGAACCCTTGGTGGATCTGGGATCAGGACACCTGTGTGTGGGCTGGTGGTCAAAAGCCAGGCTCAGAGTTGGGCAGTGGTGGCACATGCCTTTAATTCCAGCACTCAGGAAGCAGAGCCAGGCGGATCTCTGTGAGTTCGAGGCCAGCCTGGTCTACAGAGGGAGATCCAGGATAGGCACCAAAACAACACAGAAAAACCCTGTCTCGAAAAAAAACAAAAACAAAAACCAACCAACCAAACAAAAAAAGTCAGGCTCAGGAGCACACCGATTGGCAATCTCTAGCAGGAGGTAAAATATCATTAAAAAATTTTAATCTCGAGCCGGGCGGTGGTGGCGCAGGCCTTTAATCCCAGCACTTGGGAGATAGAGCCAGGCAGATCTCTGTAAATTCAAGGCCAGCCTGGTCTACAGAGTGAGTTTCAGGATAGGCTCCAAAGCTACAGAGAGAAACCCTGTCTCGAAAAAACAAACAAATAAACGAATGAATGAATAAATAAATAAATAAATAAATAAATAAACTAATCTTTATGTGTATTGATGCTTTGCCTTCATATGTCTGTGCATTGCCTTCAGAGGCCAGAAGAGGGCCTTGTACCCCTCTGGGGATGCAGTTACAGACAGTTGTGAGCAGTCATGGGAGTGCTAGAGATGGAATTTAGGTCATCTGGAAGGGCAACCAGTTCCTTAACCACCAAGTCATCTCTCCAGTTCATGATATTGTGTAAGATATATTCTTTTTTTTTTTAGATGTATTTATTTATTTTGTATACAGCATGTATGACTGCGTGCCAGAAGAAGGTACCAGATCTCATTACAGATGGTTGTGAGCCACCATTTGGTTGCTGGGAATTGAACTCAGGTCCTCTGGAAGAGCAGTCAAGCAGTCAGCTTGAATGTGTTCAGCATGCTAAAAACACACAGTAGCCCCAGACAACAAGTCATTGGTCTAATTGCTGAGGACAGGTGAGAGGAAAGGTCATTCAGTTAACCTATAAACTTGGTAGGACCTGAAAGTTGATGGTATTTGGGGGAAAAGTCACTCAGAGTATGAGGAAAGAGATTCCTTGCTCGGGGCCTTCTGAGATGCTAAGAGTGATGAGCACCAGATATGCATGCAGTGTGATGGTGGAGCCTCTTTTGTGGCCAGGGGAAGTTTCAAGGTCTCAGTGTTAGCTGGCCAAGTGTTGAATGCTCTGACATAGCCAGAGGAGGGAGAGTTTATATCCACAGGGCTATCTGGGTACTCTGCTGTGTCAGGGAGTGAGGATAAATATACCTACATGTGAACTGGGCCTGGATAAACTCTTATGGAGGCAGAAGGTACAAAAGCCAGAAGGTCCAGTAGTCAAAGGTCCAGTCGATAGGAATTAGATCCTGTCTATAACACAGAGTATTAGATCTGTTCTAGAATAAAGTTTTTGGGGAAGTTCCAGCTGCCAGGATAGTTGTCTAAACAACCCAATTGTTGAAAATAAACAACAGGAAAGGAGAAAGAAAGATCAGACCATGGGGTAAAGAAAACTAGTCCCTGCCGTGCGCCCATAGTTCCAGCTGCTCAGGAGGCTGAGGCCATAGGTTCTTTTGAACCCAGGAATTCAGAACCAGACTGGTCAACACAGTGAGACACCAGCTCTTAAAGCTGTTAATAAAAAGAGCAGGCAATGATGGGGCATGCCTTTAATCCCAGCCTTGGAAGTCAAGGGCAGGCAGATCTCTGAGTTTCAGGCCAATCTCTGAGTTTCAGGCCAGCCTGCTCTACAGAGAGAGTTCCAGGACAGGCTCCAAAGCTACACAAAGACACCCTGTCTTGGAAAACAAAAACAACAAAAAATAAACAAACAAAAGCACACAAAACAAAAACAACCAATAAAAAGGAAGGCAAAAATCAGTCAACAGAAGTGATTGTAGATGCCCATCAAGGATTCTGATAATTTATAACTTTTTTCCAAGTGAGTTTTCTCTGTGTGGCCCTGGCTGTCCTGGAAATTGCTTTGTAGACCGGGCTGGCTTTGAACTCAGAGATCTGCCTGACTCTGCCTCCTGAGTGCTAGGATTAAAGGTGTGTGCCACCACTGCCCAGTTCAGTGGATCTTTTCAAATGTTTAATTTTATTATTTTATTTATGTGTGTAGGTGTCTGCAGAGTCCATCAGAAGGCATCAGATCCCTTGAATCTGGAGTTATAGGCATTTGTGAAATGTTAGGATCTGAACTCTGTCCCTCTGCTAGGGCAATGAGCACTCTTAACCAATGAGCTATCTCTCTAGCCCTTAATAGTGGCTCTAATATTAGATCTCTAAGTTCTGGGGCAGAAGCATGAGAATAGAAACTAAAACACTGGGGTGGTGGTATAGCTTAGTAGGTAGACTGTTTACTTACTATGAAGCAAGCCTTAAGTTTAGTCTCCAATACTTCGTAAAGTCATCACAGGGAATAGAGAGAGAGATGGCTTAATTGGTAAAGTACTTGCCACACAAACATGAAGACTCCAGGACCCATGTAAAATCTGGGTGCAGTATCACAATCTATAACCCCAGTGCTGGAAATGGGTGCCTAGAGATAGGTGGAGTCTTAGAGCTCACTGGCCAGACAGTCTAGCTGAACTGGTGAACTCTAGGTTCAGGTAGAGATACTGTTTCAGAAAATAAGGTAGAGAGCAATATAGGAGCACATCAGACGTCAATCTCTAGCTTCCATTGGCATGTGTACCTACAGGCACAGGTACATACACACATACTAAAAACAACATTAGGTGTCCTGGCATATACCCATTATCCCAGTACTTAGGAGATAGAAGCAGGAAGACCAGAAATTCAAAGTCGTCTTTGGCTACATAGCAAGTTCCAGAGTAACTTGGGATTTCTGAGATCATATCTTTAAAAGAAAATGAGAGAAAGTAAGAAAAGCTGGGTGGTGGTGGCACGTGCCTTTTTTTTTTTTTTAATTTAACTTTTTTATTGACTCATTGAAAGTTACGCCTTTCATCCCAGCACTCAGGAGGCAGAGGCAGGCAGATCTCTGTGAGTTCTAGGCCAACCAGGTCTATAGAGTAAGTTCCAGGACAGCCAAAGCTACACAGAGAGACCCTGTCTTGAAAAACAACAACAACAACAACAACAACAAAAAACCCAACCAACCAACCAAACAGAAAAACAAAACAGTAAAGGAGGTTGTGGGTAAGCAGGACTTCTAACTAAAAGGAGACTCTAGTTATAACGTTCAAGGTTGAAACACATCAAAGGAAAAGGGCAAAGGATGGGCTTGGAGCTTTAGCTATGTTTAGCTCTCACAAGAGGAGGCCCCAGCCAGGAAAAGAGAATCCAGGGAAGAGGCTGGCAGCCAGAAAATTGCCAGCTTCTAAGAGGCTGCCGTTGTTGTCACTATTTTAAAGACAGTCATGCTATTTAGCTCCAGATTGCTTCAAATTTGTGATCTTCCTTCTCCAGCCCCTCAAGTGCTGAGATTATAAGCATGTACCACTAAGTCCATTTTCCTGAAGTTTTTAAATGGAAAAATTCATACAAAAAAAGCACCCAAGCCATCTCCCATCACAGAGGAAGATAGGGCCCGATTTAAGCTTCGCAATGATGTCCTAGACAGCTTTTAAAGATGAGGGGTGAAACATCTGCGGCTACAGACCTTGATGGTCCTCAGGAGAGGTGGGTGCTTTGTGGGGGATCAAGGCCAAACTGTAAAGTGTTTAAAGAATAGAGGAAGAGCGTATCTGAATGATCTAACTTCATCCGGGTATAGAGGCCACAGAAAAACAAAGGAAGGAAAAGCCCAACATTTCCATTCCCACACAGGTCCTCTAACTTAAAGCTTTAGTTTGGTGAATCGTTTGAAGTTCAAAATGTACAAAGAGAAGCTATCACTCACAGAAAGACCAAGGCAACAGTCTTCCTCCCTCCCTCCTTCTCTCTCTCTCTCTCTCTCTCTCTCTCTCTCTCTCTCTCTCTCTCTCTCTCTCTCTCCTTTGTTGTTGTTCCAAGAACGGAATGTGACTCAAGGAAAGCAACACACGATATAGTTTGGCAGCTGACTCTAGGAGTAACCCCGGAAGTCTGTATTAACCAAGAGGAATGGGTTTTTTTTTTTTTTCCTGTGAGGAAATGGTTTATTATAATAGAGAGACAGAGAGAAGACAGGAAAGAGGGAGAGAAGAGAGAAAGAGAGAGAGGGAAAGAGAGAAAGAGGTTGAGGGGTACAAACCTCCTTGGAGTGGAGAGAGAGAGAGCAGGAATGGATTTTGAAATGGATCTCCATAGACTAACTTTATTGTCTCTGGGTTCTCCACACCACAGATTCTATTTTTTATTTTATTTTATGTGTATGAATGTTTTGCCTGCATGGATATATGTATGCCTGTTGCCTGCAGAGGTCAGAAGAGAGCATCAGTACCCCCAGAACTGTATTTAAGGATAGTTGTGATCCACTATGTGGGTGCTAAGAATTGACCCTTGGTCTTTAGTAATCGCAACAAGCACTCTAAAGTGCCAAGCCATCTCTCCAGGCCCTTAATTCCCTTTTCTCATTATTATATACATTTATTGTGTAATGATTACATGCTGTGGGGTCATGTCAGGGTTAGAGAAGAACTTGAGTTGTTTCTCTTCTTCTGCAGGAGTCTTCTGGGATTGAACTCAGGATGCCAGGCTTCACAGCAAGTGTCTTTACCAGCTAGATTATCTCACTAGCCCTCATATCATGCTGCTGCTGCTGCTGCTGATGCTGATGATGCTGATGATGTTTTTGAGACAGGGTTTCTCTGTGTAGCCCTAGCTGTCCTGGAACTCACTCTGTAGACCAGGCTGGTCTCCAACTCACAGAGATCCGCCTGCCTCTGCCTCCTGAGTGCTGGGATTAAAGGCATGCGCCACCACTGCCCACCTGGAAGCCATGATCTCTAAGGAAAAAAATTGTTTTTGAGACAGGATCTCTCTATATATATAGCCCTGGAACTCACTATGTAGCTCTGCCTGCCTCTGCCTGCTGAGATTAAAAGCTGGTAACACCATGCCCAGCGTTATGTATTCATTTATTAGTGTGTATGTGTGTACATGTGGTATTGGGGGAAGACATGTAGATATGGAGGTCACAAGACAGCCCTGTGGATGGAATTAGTTCTCTGCTTCTGCCTTCACGTGAGTTCTGGGTATTGAACTTAGGTCACGAGGCTTACTTGGCGAATGCATTTACCTTCTAAGCTATCTCATTGGCCCTACTTCATATTTGTGAATATGTTCATCATGCTAGAATATTTACTGTTATATTTTCCAAAGACCTGCCCGATTAAAAAGCTCTCTTTAACTAGACTCGGTGATTTGTTCCAGGGTGATCATGTGACTGACCTAATGGGCAAAACCTATCCCCCAGAATTTCTCTGTTACCACACGGCAAAATTTGTATTCTGCTGGGTGGAACTGCTACTTGGGTGGAGTATAAGCCTGGATCTGCTTGATCTGTCCTTGGAGAAGCATCTGAGGGAAAGAGCACTGAGAATGAGTCAGATTCTTGCTAACTGTGTTCTAGTTACTTTTCTGTTGCTGTGATAAACACCGTGACCAAAAGCAACTTGGGGCAGAAAGGATTTACTTCATTTTATAGGTTAAGACCATTAAGACCACTAAGGAGGGAAGCCAGGGTAGAAGCTCACGCAGGACCTGGAAACCGTGGAGGAATGCTGCTTACTGGCTTGCTTCAAGACTTACCTTCAACTATCTTTCTTACATAGCCTAGGCCCACCTGCCTAGGGATGGGACTGCCTGCAGTGGGCTGGGTCCTCCGACATCAATTGCCAATCAGAGAAATACCCCACAGACACGTACACAGACCAGTATGATAGGGAAATTCTTCAACTGAGGCTCCCTCTTCCCAGGTGCATTGTTAACCACCCAAATTAGCTGTCCTACATGGTTTGAGCACCTCTACTCTCTATTCCTGAAGTGAGACAGACTACCCTTTTATTTGGCTTAAGCTAGGTTTTAGTCACAACTAAAGTCATACGTAATGACAGTGATACTAGGGCCTATGAAAGACTCGAGCTTGAAGGTGTCCCTTTATAACTTCAACAATTTTGCTTAATCTCCATAAAAGTTGATGACATGAAATATCACATAAGACGTAAACACAGGCTATGAAAAGATCTATATTGTTGTTGTTAGTACTATTAGTTCTGGGGATTGAACCCACAGCCTCAGGCATGGTAAGTGTGCAGTCTATGTCTGGGCTATGTTTCCAGGCCCCGAAGATCCCCAGATAACTGCTCCCACTGTGTCAGCCATAGGAAATTAAAAACAATCACACTGTTAATGAGCTCCTAAAAGTCTTTAGTGTTCTAACTTTGTATTTAACATGGTTAGGGCCAATCCAGGGAACTAAATCCGAAGTTTAAGATCCAGAAGGAAGTCAATTCCCTCATTGCCAAAAACTCCCTCTTTTGGAAGTCCACGCTTGGTAATGTGCTACTTATTTAGGTTTTATCCAAGCAATTTCTGACTCATGCTGATGTCAGTTTTTTTTTTTTTTGCTTATAGTTGGGGGTTCCAGTATATGATTAATGGACTCTTTTGCTTTGGGTAGCAATCATGGGAGAAACGTGTGCCAGAGCAAAACCATCCACCTCACAGCCAGGATACAAAAGGGAGAGGCAGAGACGGACTAGTCCCCCTATTCCCTCAAGGGCATAACCTCAATGACCTCAACCCTTTCCACCAGACGCTACCTCTTAAAATTTCTACTTCTCCAAGTAATGCCAAGAGGGAACCAAGCTTTTAAAACAGGACCTTTGGGAGACACTTAAGACCCAAACTATCAAACCTACTGTTAGAAAAATGAAAAAAAATGTGTTTTTTTTTAGACAGTGTTTCTCTGTCTAACAGCTCTGGCTGTCTTGGAACTCACTTTGTAGTCCAGGATGGCCTTGAATTCACAGAGATCCTCCTGCTTCTGCCTCCCAAGTGCTGGGGTTAAAGGCGAATGCCACCACTGCCTGGCAAAAATGTTTGTTTATAGAAGTGTAACAGATTACAAGGTGCAGCCTTCCTTAAATGTGGGAAATCACAAGTAAATTCTCAGAAAGCAGAGGTGTCAGGTTCTAGGCTACACCCTGTTGATTCTCATGCTTCCCAAGGCCCAGTTGATTGTTTCTGGTAACTGCCACTGCAGGTCTGTTTTACCTTTGTCTTTCTCTCCCCGCCCCTCCTACCTCCCTCCCTCCCTCCTTCCCTCCGTCCATTTTTTTCTTAAAGACATAGGGTGTCGCTGCTGTGTTGCCCATGCTCACCTCCAACCACTGGGTTAGGGTGGTCTTTCTATTTCCTGTTGCAGAACAGCTGGGAACACAGACCGTGAGCACACTGAGGCATTCTGTTCACTAGATACACTCACAGGCTCCTGAGAGTCAAGCTGTGAGGCAGGTCTAGCAGGAAGTTCTTGTCTGTCTTAGAGATCATGTTCATGGTGGCTTTTGACTGTATGGTCCAGAACAGATTGTTATTAGTCAATCTATGAGTGTGAAGCTTGATGGAGTGATAGACGGGACTCAAAGCAAGTATATGTACAGAGAAAACACTAAAGGCTTTCCAAGGAAGAGGACCTGAATTTCCTCCACAGGAGACAGCTTCAAGACCTGATTGATGAGATTATAGAGAACGTTTGACATTCTTTGCTGCCTAATAATGTCTGAACATTGTTCCCATTTTGGAGAGCTCCTAAGCCAGAACCCATAAACCCTGATATGATATTGAATATAATTCCAGAAATAAGATAATATTTTAGGATTTGGGCTACCTATGAAGTTCAAAATCTCTAACTAGAGATAAAATATACATACTTAAGTGGGAAGAGGAAAGCAACAATGATTAATCAAAAATAATTTTCACAGATGGCAGAACTTATAGCACAAGCCACCTCCTTGCTGCTGGCACATTTGGTAAGCGATAGGGCTTGAACCAGGCACAACTCTAGTCCATTGGGGAATAGAGAGTTAAAACTGGACAGTGGCTCAGAGTGGAAAGTCAGGGCCCTTGGGATTCTTGAGCTGCAACAACAACAATATAGTTGGATCATAATTTATGTGAATATTTGTATGAACACTTCTATTAAACCTGAGAGAGAAGTAGCCCTGATTTGGACCCTATACCTAAAGAGTGTTGATTGGGCCCTTTTCTGAGCCAGCGTTTCTCCTTAGGATGAGAAATCCATTGAGACAAAGGGAATTATTTACTCAAAGACCTTGCCTCTCACTTCGGGGTCATCCTCAGTGTCTGCAATTTCCTGATCCCAAAGCTTCTACTTGTTTCCAAGACCTACACAGACCCTTCCCATGGATGTGTTCTCCTGAGAACAGAAAGCATAGTGTCAGCACCCTTAGACCTAAGGTGGTTGATGGACAGCTGCTGGGAGGGGATAGGGGGAGAGCTTGGACACTTGCACAAGGGCCACTCTTACAGTGCAGGATGAAGCACAGGGGTAAGAAGACAAGGGGTCATCTCTGTCTCCTCCATGTTCTTCATGTGCCAGAACTCCACAGATCCTTGAATTTGAACTTAGTCTTCTGGGCTTTCATAAAACTGTATTTGATATGATATGGAGACTTTTTTTTTTTTTTTTAGTTTAATGGTGTATTTTATTTAGAACCTTTTAAAAATTTTGACATATGGCCTGTGGGTCTCCATAAATACTCTTGCCCCAGGCCCTACCAGTGTTACTATAGGAACATAATCAGGTGTCAGGAAGCTCTGAACTTATGCTGTAATATTATATTGCTAAAACAAAATGCCCAAGGATGGGCACTTTATAAAGAAGACTTACCTTGCCTTATGGTAAGGTAAGTTCCAGAAGGCTAAAACATTCAAGCTCAGGCAGTCACATCTGATAAGATTTATTTTTAAAAGTTTTTAATTAGCATATTTTAATTATACATAATAATGGGTTTCACTGTGTCATTCTCGTGCATGTACATAATATATTTTGATCATATTCACCTCTCGTTTTCCTCTCTTATCCCTCTCACACTCTCACCAATCTCCCCAACTAGTCCCCTTCCACTTTCATGACTGTGTGTGGGGATTAGGTTTTGTGCCAGATGAGGGGTTATTTATAGGAGCATGGGCAATTTACCAGTGTCTACATCACTAAAGAAAATGTCTCTCCCACCACATCAACACTAATCGCCTATAGATCTCCCGGAGGGGTGAGGCCCCATGAGTCACTCCTTACAAACAGCAGTTACCTGCCCATAAATCCTTAAAGAGGGGTGGGACCTCAAGTGCCCCTCCCAACTTCAGGACAGAATGTTGACGTCCAAAGCTTGTGCGGGTCTTGTTCTAGTAGTCACAACCGCCAAGGGTTCAATAGTGCAACGAGCATGTCATGCCCAGAAGACAGTGTTCTGTAACACTCCACCCCTTCCTCTGGATCTTATATCCCTTTCGAAACCACTCCTGTGATATTCCCTGAGCCTTGGAGGGGATGATATAGATGTTCCATTTTGGACCGAACATTCAATGGTCACTTATTCTCAGTATTTTGACCAGTTATGAATCTGTGCGATAGCTGCTGCCCACTAAAAAAGAAGCTTCTCTGACCAAAGCTGACAGAACTGCTAGTCTGCTGAGATCTTTATAGCACATAACACGACAGAGGGCATCGTGTGGTGGAAGTGTGTATGAGAGGAGCAGTCCACAGGAGAGAAAGCAAGAGGGTGAAGTGAGAAAGCTGCACTCCCAATGTATCAACTCTTACTCAAGTAATTCATCTAATCCCTAGAGGCCTAATGGACTCTCCGGAGATGGGCCTTGATCCTTCCCTCAGAGGCGTGCCCCCATGACCCAATTCCCTTCCACTGGACCACTTTTCAATACCTTTACCCCGTGGATCAAACTTCTAGCACATATTTTATGATACTTATATATAAGTATATACTGTACTGAGCTAGGGGGGTCAAGGTCATG